GGTTCACGCATTTCCGGTTAAAAGCCACAAGTTAAATTCTAACCTTGACTAATTCATCCATCTGCCAGTGCAGAGAGAAAAGATGGTTTCAGTAATGCTTTGCTCTGCTGGTTGTCTTAGGCCAAGGCTCTACTCCTAAGTGCAGGCCCTAGTTCTTGAAGAAAAGGTCTTTTTCTCAACTGAAGCGTAACACTTCTGCCTCTCCTGCCTGTGAGGGTGGATTGGATAGAGGACTCCCTACCTTTCTCCCTTCAGCCAGGGCTTTGAAGTGCTGTGGGGAAAGAGACTGTGTTAGTACAGTGACTTGCTCTGGTCATTTGACAACACAAAGCCAGCTGTTTAGAGAGAATATATTTAGACCACCCAATGAAAAAACTCCCAAAAAACTTCAGAATTTCATTAAGCAGAAAATTGATGCAATCTGAAAAGCTACTCAGCTACATTAGTGAAACAAAGGTTTCCATTTCACCCTACACAGTATAATCTCATTTAGAGGGAGTAACTGCATTCATTTAAAAAAAAAAGTTTGGCGGAGAAATGGGGAAACAGATGAGGCAATGATCCCCATAAACACATTAATAAAAAAATGAAAAGTATATTAAAATTCATCAGTGGAATGTAAGTGAATTTATGGTACTGTGATGGGCAAAAGCTGGGCAGAATTTCTCCATCTACACAGCATGTATTGAAAAATGAAAGACACTTTGGAAAGTCCTCAGGAGGCTCCAGAAGAGAGAGAAGCAGCATTTTACTGAAATGTTCTGCAAACTGCCTTTTCTAAGAGCTCTAATGACCTGATCACTCATTCTCCAGCTGCTACTGGAAAAAATAACTCAAGCCAGCTATTGTCTCCACTTTAATCTATTAAGAAACAAGGAGAAATGGGTTGAAGTTTGCTGAAAGGGGCTCATTCATTGCCCATCACCAAAGAGGAGTCTAATAATTGTAAGTTATAAGCAAGGGAGAAACCTCTTCAATAATAGTCAAAATTAAACTCAAGAACCCAACTGATGAGAGGAGAGTGTGGAAAAGCATCGACTGCAGTATGTGATCAACTACCACAAAATTGAGGAAAGGGACCCATAACAGCTTTCCTCGGTACAGCTTTAGGGATTTCCATAGGCCAATGTATGTGAACGTATATACTAACTTTATCTCATAAGAATGGCCCATCTAGCCCAGTAGCCTGTCTGCCTCAGATGGAGGGAACACAACAGGTAATCCTCAAATGATCCCTCCCATATCACCCCTTTCCAGATACAGGCTAGGGACACCATTCCTACCCATCCTGCCTAATAGATTCATGGAGGTTAGGTCCATTAATGGCTATCTAGCTCTTTTTTTGAACCCTGTTAAAAGTCCTAGGCATCATCACATCCTCTGGCAGGGAGTTCCACAGGTTGACTGTGTGTTGAGTGAAGAAAAACTTCCTTTTGTTTGTTTTAAACCTGCTGCCTATTAATTTCATTGGTGACCACTAGTTCTTACATTGTGGGAATAAGTAAATAACTTTTCTTCAAGTTTTATAAGACTTGTCATAAAAGAATGGATGTCACCTGCATTCTGCAACATGCTAGCGTGCGTTTGGGGTCCTCAGTGAATAGCAGGAACTGCTGGGAAAGTGATGCCTGTTGCTGGACTGAACGAGTGACCCAGCAAGGTCACTTCTGGAAAGCATGAAGGGAAAAGATGTCCCTGTTCAGATCCTTTGGAACTTTCTGTACTTGTAAAGTTGTTAGGAAGCATTTGGTTATCTGCTTCCCTAAACCTCCTGCAGTTTCAGCTGGGAAAAGATTTTTCATTAAGTTCTCATTCAGCTTCCAAAATGGTATGCCCTTCAACAGCAGGTGTGTCCTATACGCACATGTAGGATGTAGCCATGGGAAGCCTGAGAGGTGAAAACAGCAGTTATAGCTAAGAAATAATGGAAATGCTTCAGAAAGAGGCCAGGATATGTACTGTTGTTGGGTGCTCTTCAATGCACAAGAGTTGTTGTGAATTTTAGGACAAGTGACTTAACATTGCCTTCCTCCCTTGTAACAGTGACAGCCTGGAAGGTGGTGGACAGGGCTGGAGTCACCTACCTGTGAGTTTTTGAACTCTGAATACAGCGAGAAGAGGACATGCAGGGACTGGACCCGACTCTTATAGACAGGAATGTCCAGAATAGCTAGGACAAAACAGCAAGGTTGTGTTTAGTATCCTTATGTTGCCTGGACATGGGCCCTCTCCAAGTAGCAATACCCTCTGAACACCTCCATGGCAACCCCTCGCTTGGGGGCTTTACATGCTAAGTTCTTTCTTCCAACTACAAGCACCATCTGCTTAGGTTGGGGCTAAACTTGGCTGCAGAGGTCTCTTGCTTTTCCTAACTATGATGCCATCTCTAGTGCTACTGCGTGATCAGTGAATAGGACAGGGTCTGCCACTGAGTATACAGAGGGAACAGACACATTTAGAAATATGAGGCACATCTGTTTCTCTGCTCAAGGACATGATACTTGGAACACAACACCCATCTCCAGAAAAAACAAGGGCCATTCACCTTCCTGCAATGTGAAACAGCTACAGGTTCTGAAGGGACCTCTTATCAGCCCGTCCACTGGGGGCAGGCTGACCCCACATCTGCAGCCTAGTGATATAAAAGGCTAAGCTTGAATGGTAAGATGCAACAAATGCACCTGGAATACCTCTTCCAAACAGGCAGAGCACACTGCTGTTGGGAGGAAGTGCTGCCTGCTCAACCACCGTCTTACGGGTGTAACACGTCATACTTTGTGTGGTGGTGGTGGTGCGTGGAGGGTGGTAAGGAGCTGACAATCTGCTGCCTTTGAGAAGATAAGCGACGTGTACAGGTTCTTTGCTTACCACATATCATGTCAATGTACTCAGCCAGGCCACAGCTGATGTCTGCAGTTGGAAGGCTCACCTAGAAGGGACATGGAGAGGAGACTCATGTTCAGTTCCCATACAGCAAGAGCATGGACTAGTGTTCCCAGCAGAAAGAAAGCACAGCCTGGACAGCAGCAAATTAAGCTTCCTCCTTGTCCCACCATATAAAGGGGAGGAGGTCAGGGAGACGGAGGCCCATTCATCGCTTGGCATCTCTACCAACGTGGGGAACAATTAGCATCGACTTGTGATGTGGATGCCTGTTCCCTAAGAATGGGACTGAAACTCACCCATTTCACACAGGCCGCTGAACAGTTACTACAGGGTGGCAGTTTTCAACCACCACTGATTGACCTTGCTGGATTTGAGGCTTAAGCTGATGAGCTAGAGACACCAAATTGCCTAGACAGTGGTTTTCCTTCATAGTGATACAAGAAACCCAAACAGCTCTGAACCAGCCTGTGTGAATGAGGGACAAGATAGTGTAGAGACACAGGCCAAAATGAAAAAAAAATCCAGATAATGCCTGTAATATACAGCTCAGGTAGCTGTTAGGTGGGCTGACAACCTACCTTTCCCAAGAGCTCCTCAAATTCTGGAGACCATTCCTGCATCAGAGTCTCAATATCGGGCACTGGCCTGCAAGGGGAGAAAAATTAAACACAGTAGCCCAGCATTAATTCTGCAGGATGTGAGGCTTGACAGAGTGCACTGAAAACAGACTGGTGAGAATGGGGAGACTGTGACACAGCAACTGCACTCTTATCCTCAGGCAGAAAACACACATTTGCCTCTCCAACCACACAGAAGGGTACTGACTAAGCAGCTTTCACACAATTAGGGTATTTAAGGCCAGGTCCACACTAGGGGATAAGTTCAAATCAAGATACACAACTTCCTCCTCTCTTCTGACTGTGCATTTTGAAAAGTGTTAACTATAGTTCTTTGCTGACATTCAGAGCCTTTCATATCAGCACTTCACAAACGTTGAAGAAACCTTTCAGTCCTACTCCCAGTAAGTCAGAGTTGCTATCCTTATATGACAGGTGGAGAAGCTGAAATGCAGAATTGAAGTGACTTGTCCAACATCGAACAACATGTCTGGGGCAGGTAGAAAATAGAACCCAGGAGTCCTGACTCTTAGTCACCTTCTCTAGTTGCTTAAACATGCTCCCTTTCTACAAAGGCAAACTGTAGCTAGCTGAATTACACAAAGTCAGCAGGAGAGACATTCCATTGATCAAAGGCTACTCAGAACTGCATCTCTGCATACAAGACAAGCGTAAGGAGTAAGCAAAGTAAATTACAAAAGCAGGAGACTGCAGAGAGTTCACCTGGTGTAGTGCACAGTAGCAGGAGGTTTGAAGCGATGTAACTCACTGATACTCTCAATCCAGTTATCAATAGCTTTGGGATTCTTCTCTGCATTCTCCAAGCTCTTCACTTTTATTTGCTGCTGGGAACAGAAATGAGATTCTAGAGACAGACTCTCCGTGGCTCCCTGCAAACCCTGTGCTTCATTCCTGGATGGGCAGTGTGGTTTTGTTCTCTTTCCCAGCTGCGCTAGGTCATCCAGCATCTGCATACTGGAGCAGAACAGTAGCTGGCAAAGAACACAGTTACCAAAACCAGATAGGAACAACCGCAAGAGATGAAGCTCTGGCCCAGGGAAACAAACAAATCCAAACTCTGTTAATTAAGGCACGTGTGTCAATGAGAGCAGACACACAGTCTAATGGCATGGTAGGAAAATGTTTTCCGTTCATGAGAACTTAAAGTCAAACCCTTACTGTGTTGTAAGCATGGTAGTGCTACAGACACCCAGATTAGAACAAGACTCCGTCTTTCTACTCTGTACAGTGTGGGGTAAACGACTCTTATTTTCATAACTTACTGCAACGTTGTGCTGTTTGGAGTTTTCCGTTAACCAGAGAGAGAGCACCGTGGGATCTGACTGTTTTGTGGATGGCTCATCCAGTACCAACAGGCCAAGGTTATCTGGCTTGCCATCAGGCCGTGGAACCTGCAGATGAAGAGGAACTGATTTTTGTTTCTTCTAAAGTAAAAAAAACAGGCAAGTTTAAAGGATGTTTAAAATAAGCCCTTTTAAAATACTGCTTTGGAAGATCATGTTGCTGTGCACAGACTAGCCTTAGAAAAAGTAGTAGGAGAGAGCGTTGCAGAGCTGCCTGGCACTTCTGGATCAGAAAGAGAGCTGCAGTTTAAATGGGATGCTACAGAAAACAGAGCAAGAAGTAACATCAGAATTAAGATCTCTGCTCTATCCACTTAAGTCTCAAAATAGATTCAGAGATCCGATTGTGAAATTTCATCAAGATCAGCAGAAATATTTAATTATAGAAAGCCAGAGAGCATTCAGAGCTCATTCATCTTCATTACAGCTGCACTCAGGAGACCTGATATCCACCAGAGATAATGATCCCATTTACACACTCATTCAGCTTCCACAATCAGTTGCATTATCCAGTATGAAACCGCAAACAAGAGAAATTATTGTGTTCCAGTCACGTGGGACAGAAATCCAAATCTCAGACATACTGGAAGGATAATTCAGAGGTAAAACTAAGAATGAAATTCTGGAAAAAAACAAACAAACCCTTAGAAGATGGCAAAATTCAAGAAAAGGAGGATTGGACAATCAGACAAAAGGCTCTACTGAATGCACCTGAATAGCAGAAGTGAAGCTGAAGAGGAGGAGTTGGATCCCTGAGGGACACTTAATAGTAACTACAACAATGTAAGAAAAAAAAGTACTAAGTGTGCTTTGATTGGGGTGATAGAGGCAGCAGAGTGGGGGGGAGCTCCCTCCACCCTCTTTTAGTCATGTTAATCCTAGCTTTCTAGGACAACTCAAATAATAAGGGGGCACCGAGAGCCATAAGTGGGTTTGGGTTCTTAATCCAGCACCCAATGTGCTGAGATTACTGCTGTTCCAACAAAGAGAAAAGCAAATGCTACTTTTCACTAAGTTAATATTGTTTTCATGGGTGCACAAGAGGGAAGGATCTGAAAGCTGTGTACCTTTAAGAAGGCATCAATGTCTCCAACAGCTGGAATAAAATCTGGAATGAAAGGCTGCAGTTTGTGTTCAAGCTCTATCATTTGTGGAGTGTACCTGAGAATAACACAAGCAAAGTATCATCCAGGAAAATAGTATTTCTTTCTGTAACCATTTCAACCACCCGAAGGACATTCCAACACAGACTCCTTATACTCACCTCCTTATATACTGGAAGAGCTCTTTAATCTCTGCAGACACTGGTAGATACTCATAATCTGCAGGGTTGTAGGCACTATAGAAAAGAGATATTCAAGACCAACAGATTCTGGAAGATTAACTTAATGGAGAACTTGTATCTGATCCCCTAGGGGTGTGTTAAAAGAGGAGAGGGCCTTGAATGCTTTCCTTAGCCTAGTATACCCATACTGGGGGCTGGATCTGGCTACAGAACAAATTTACAGATGAGATCAAAAGAATCCAGAGTTTGACATCTTTAAGAAATGCTTCAAATTCTTCCTCTTTGAAGATGTTTCCACCATAAGAACACCACTCACAACACCGATTACCCCCTTTCTTGATTGGAGTTTTAATTAATAATATCATAGTGATGGGCAGCAAACCAGACTCTCAACAAACTTATATTACAATACAATGTAATGATAAAACAATTACTTCCCTTGAGGCAGGCTAGCCTGCATGCTAGACATCTGTACTCTCTTTCAGACAATTGCATTCTGTCTTTGTCCAGCACAATGCTTTGAGTATATTAATGGGTCCACTAATATCCCTGCCTTCTGTTACTGCTAGTTTATCATACTAAGTCTGAGTTTTTGCCAGGCTACCTGGCTACGCTCTATGCTACCTCAAAATGTTCATGAGCAGGTATTTGTAGGCAGGAAACTTAACAGGCATACTTGAAATCTAAGAATTCTCCCTGTGTCAATGAACACTTCAGAATCTTGCTTAGGAATCCAAGTTTTAAGTTTTCTAAGAACAATTCTATCTATGAACAATGCATCTTTACTGATGCATGTCAAATCCCAGTGACACTCTTCCTGTCCACACGGTCAATGGCATTCCCTCTACCCTACCCTCCCCCCTTAATATAGCTATATCGTTGTATCTTCATTTTTCAGGGCTGATACTCTGAAAACTTACTGTGCCATTGCATCTGTATATTATCTGTCTCAGCTTTTAAACCCCTTATCCCACACTGTCTAATCTAAAGACACATCTGCACAGTACTGTCAGAATGTAACATTACTCATTTGGCCTGTTAGGATGGAACAGGTCTCTCTCATAAGGGAGATCTTGACTTTAATTCCAGTGGTTCCTCTAACTGTTCTTATAAATTGAGAGTCCTTCATACCCCTCCAAAGGGGCTCCATGCTCCTCTTCATCATCATCATCATCGTCCGAGTCAGTTTCAGACGAATCATCCTCATCCTCTCCATCCTCGTTCTCACTAAATCCTTGCTGTGGGGCCAGTTGAGCTACCTTCTTTTCCTAGGTCATGTTAAAACCAAAGTTATGGTGCAACAGACGTTCCCAACAGCCCCATTTCCCAGCTCTGCCATTTTTCATTCTAAACAGAAAAACACCCTCTGTTCAAAGTTTGCCACATACGGGTGGCACTGCTGTGTGAAAAAGAAACTTCCTTGGGTGGTATGGAAAAGGAATGCCAGCACAGACAATTAATCTAGGGTTACTACTGCTCTTAGTCTGACCCAAATGCATGGGTTTCAGCAATGGGGGGGAAGGGGGGAGGAATATTTAGTTCTAACAAACAAGAATTTATCTTTTATAGAGAATCTCAAAATGGTTTATAAACAGTACTCAGCCCTTTCCAAGGCAGTAAGTACTATGATCCCACTTTACAGCCAGAGAAACTGAAATACAGATAGAAGAAAACTGGCTCACGCAAAGCCACACAACTGATTAGTACAGAGCTGGACATAGAACTCAGGAGTCCTGACCTATAGTCAGTGTATGTTCTCTAAACTGTAAAAAACACTCCCTACGTTTCCAGCCAAACGTGGGTGTAAGCTATTGATCTCTGACAACCCTCTTTTTATCCCACTTCAGCCACTGAACAACAGTGGGCCTGGTAAAAGCAACAAGGAGTCCTGTAGCACCTTATAGACTAACAGATGTATTGGAGCATAAGCTTTTGTGGGCAAAGACCCACTTCGTCAGTGGGCCTGGTATTCATTATATCCACACTGGATGGTATCAGCTACCATGATGTGAAAATTCCCTTCTAGACCGATTCTCCCAAATTCATATACATTGTTCCATCTGTTTTACTTGAAGAAAAAAGAAATCTGACCCCCTCCTTACCTTCTATTTCTAGTACAAATAATGTGTCTTGCCAAAAAGTACTGCAATTACATTTCTTTCTACTCAAAATGGGTCTTAAAAAAATCACAATACATTAAGAAATTTCCCCAGTAGGACTCAACATACAGATAACAAGTCCCAGGTAGATGGGGGCTACAAAATGCTGTGATCAACTACATCAGCAAAGAAGAACATGGACAACCTCATACCTTGTTTATTTCTTCATCATACTCATCACTGCTGTTATCAGCCATGTTTTTGAGCTGTGAGCATGTGGACCTAGGACCTGCTGAAGAGATCATCAAGAAGGTTTCTGTATATATGCTACCCAAGCTTGGTTGTGAGACTGCAGCTTGGATTATCACATTGAGGCACCTATCTACACCGGCCCTACACTGAAGTTCTCACAGTCACGTTTACTCAATTGCAGCATGAGGCTGAACTAGACTAGACTGCAGCTGGGCTAGCCACGGTGGAAAAGCCCAAATCCCTATTCCACCAACCAGGTGCACGCCTAGGTTTGTGACAATTGTCCTTACCGCATCTAGTCTCTCAAGCTTCTTTTTCACCCCCAGGGAACACCTTTGGTATTTAAAACGCGCGTTCTGCGTTACCCCCACAGCACCGTGCGTCCAGCGAATCCCAACGAGCCTGCTCCCCTCCAGTTTTGAGGAACTGAGTTTTCACCCCCTGGGGGAGGCTAAGACGCTGTAGCAGCGAGGCTCAAGCTGCCCGTCGGCATTTAGGGCGGGAGCGGAGGCGGCCCCTACCTCGCTGCCGTGGAGTTGGGGTGTAGACACTGGCCACCTCTTCGGAGTCGTTGATCTCCAGGCTCTCGTCGTAGGGCTGGTTTTCCACTATTTTGGTCTAGTGACAAAGACAAGCGCGTCCGGGTGGAGGCTAAGACGCTGTAGCAGCGAGGCTCAAGCTGCCCGTCGGCATTTAGGGCGGGAGCGGAGGCGGCCCCTACCTCGCTGCCGTGGAGTTGGGGTGTAGACACTGGCCACCTCTTCGGAGTCGTTGATCTCCAGGCTCTCGTCGTAGGGCTGGTTTTCCACTATTTTGGTCTAGTGACAAAGACAAGCGCGTCCGGGTCACTGTCGCTGCCGACCGCAAAGCGCCGGGAGCGGCCTGGGGCTGCCCGGCGGGTGCTCGGGCCTTTCGGGACCCAGAGCACCCGGGCAGCGCCGCCCCCTG